AGCAGGGATAGTGGGGGGGGCCCCTCCACCAGCTGCAGCAGCATGGCTGCGCAGTCAACGAACACCTGCTGCTGCTGCTGCTGCTGCTGCTGCATTTTTGCTGCAGCAGATAGGAACGAGCAGAAACACAGACACAGGTTTAGCCGCTGGGCCCCCCAGGGGCCCTCTGCTGCTGCTGCTGTTGCTGCTTTTGCTGCTGCTGCTGGTGGGGGCCCCCCTGCTGCTCCTGGTTTGCTCTTTCCTGCTGCTGGAGGGCCCCCTGCCGCTGCTGGGGGGCCCCTTAGCGTAGCTGGTTGGGGGGCCCCCCGCAGCAGCAACTTTCCGCTGTTGCACAAAGCAGCAGCCACTGCTGCAGCAGTTTGCTGCTGCAGCGCTGTTGCCGCAGCAAGAGCAGCAGCAACCTCAACTAGCCCCCATAGAGAGGCGTCCCCAGCAGCCCAGGATGCTGCTGCTGCTGCTGCTTCCCTTGCTGCAGCTGCTGCTGCTGAACCTGCTTTCCTTGCTGCTGCTGCTGCTGCATCGCTACCTGTACACGCTTCTCCACCCCCACACGCAGCAGCAGCAGCAGCAGCAAGGTTTTTGTTTGCTGCTTCGTAAAGCTGCTGCAGCAGGGCCTCAGTCTTTCCCTCCTCAGCTTCTTTATTTGCTGCTAAACACAAATCAGTGGGGGGCCCCTTGGGGGCCCCCAGAGGGACCCCCGAATGAGCAAAGGGTTCATTTTTGGGTCCCTCTCCTTTTGAATAAACAGCAACGGCTTCTCGGGGGGGCCCCTGGGGGCCCCCCACAAGGTGCTGGGGGCCCCCCTGGCCTGCAATCCTTTGGGGGGCCCCCTCATAAACTTGCTGCGGGCCCCCTGTAGGGGCCCCCCCAGGGGCCCCTACTGAGGGGCCCCCTGGGGGCCCCTCAGAAGGCCCCAATAGGGACCCCCCTGGGGGCCCCTGTGGGGACCCTCCTGGGAGCCCCCCTGGGGGCCCCGCGGGGGGCCCCTCTGGGGGCCCCCCTGGGGGCCCCAAAGACCTCTTGAGGCGTTGCCTGAGGGCCCCACAAGAAAGCAGCAAACGATTTATCTCCTGGGGGCCCCCCTGCTGCAGCCTCTTTAGAGACAGAGACACGAAAAGGCCCAGCAGCCGCCAACTCAGGGCAGGGGGCCCCCCTTGGGGGCCCCCCTGGGGGCCCCCCAGGGGGCCCCCTGGGGGCCCCCCTCGGGGGCCCCCTGAGGGGTCCCCTGGGTATCTGTGGGGTCTCACAGGTAAGTGAGACAAGGTTTCTACCAGCAAGCGCATAGAAGACTCATCCACAGGGTGCTGCTGCTGCTGCCTCCGCTGCTGCTGCTGCCGCTGCTGCTGCTGCTGCTGCTGCTGCTCCAATATGCTGAAAA